TAACAAAATCAAGGAGTGTCAACATATAACTGAACTAAATACTACATTATCCTTGTTTAATATAATTTCTCTGTTATATATTAAGTAAACCTCCTTCCTTTAACTGTTGAGTGAACTATAAGTGTTTCATTTCATTCCAACTCTGACCCTACACTGACAGGCAATTGGCCCACCCATTGGTAAGGCCCACCCATTTTACTGGGCAATAGACATTCTTCATCCATTTGGTCTTTCCCTTGTGGATGGATGGTCAGGCAAAAGTCCTTTGATTCTTGACCTCTCTTTCTTTCTCTTTTAATCTTATTTTTAATTTATGGAATAAAACAAACATTTCCATAACATATTACAATAAAAAGATGATTATACATGAAACTGCAAATCTACTATGGACAAAAATGCTCTACACCTTAAAAAAAATCAGTACAATATCATTTGCAAACAGGAGATTCTGGAGGACCTCATCATTCACAGGAACTCCCTCTTCCATTTTGATCTCCTCTATCACACAGTGGCGAACACATTTGTCTAGTAGACATATCTTTGCTTTATGCCTCACCTGCTGTTGATGAGCAGAAGGTCATTGGAATGGGTTATTTCTGCTACTTCTTTGGAGGAATCTTGAATAAATTGTGTACACACATTTATATAATACACACACATATGTACACATATGTGTGTGCATTTGAATATGTATGTGTTTATATATATATACATATATATATATATATATATATATATATATATTTATTCACATATACACATACACACAATATTATGCTACCTCCCCGTCTATACCTCTTAGAATACCAACCTTCCTTTATATCTGAGCAGGGAACCAGTTCCCATGAAGAACTTTCACTGATCCCTCCAGATGTTAGTGCTCTTTCCTTCCTCAAATTACCTTATATTGCCTTATCTGCATACCTGTTATATGCCCCACCCCCTAGGAAAAGTCAGTCTTCTTAAAGGCAGATTTTTACTTTTGGCTAGCCAGTGCCTACTAGGTGCTTGAAATAGTAAACAAACTTAATTTCTTTTCTGCTCTAGAATCAAACTTAATTTAAAGCTATAAATTTCTATATTAGCACAGAATTATAGAACTGGAAATAAGCTTTTAACTTAACTATATGTAGACCTAACTACATAATTATATACGCATGTACACACAAGTATACATGTGCACTCCTGGGTTACTTTCCTAAACTTGCGCTTTTACTTGAAGGTTGGGTGTCCAGAGGGACAACTTGTTCTCAGGAAGGGTAACCTTGTGAGTGGATGACAGTGTAGCCCCTGAGCCCCCACTGGTGTGTTTCCCATTAACATATAGTAGACTTTGCTTTTAGCAAAGGCATTTATTTGGTAAGATGAGATAGCAGGAAAAGTTGGTATAAAATATTCCTCTCAAAAGCTTGCACTTTCCCACATATATACGTAGGTTCATGGAAAGAGTGGGTTCAGATACTTGTGGCAAAGGGGTAATTCACAACTCCTGATGCTGGAACTTATTTCTCCTTGTGTAGAGACCTTAAGAAGCTCCTTTGGGTTACAGCTCTATGCTGAGTATTCTACTTATCTGGGGTTTAAAGATATGTTCCTTCTTTGAGTCCATCTCTGCCATTTCTCTGTTAGAGATCACAGTCCCAGAAGTTACCTTCTTCTTGGGGTAATTGTCTTTCAGTATCTGTGCCTCTTTTCAGCATGCCTTTCCATTCTCAGCTTGATCTCTCATTTCCCATTAGACCAATTTCCTCTTATGACGTGGTCAGTTGGGAGGTGGGGGTGGGGAAAAGAGAGAAGATGAAATTCCCTCCCCACTCAAATGTGATTTCCTGTCAAAAGACCTTTTTTTTCCCCTCTCCACTTCTGGCTCAAATTGTAAAATTGTTGAAATCCCTTTAGCTATTTAAAGTCCCCAGAGACATTGTCAGCTCACCCATACAGCCAGTCACACAATTCCCCCTTTGACTCAATCAGAGTTTCACACCTCACAGAGGGATTACATTAAAATCTAATCACGTGTGGCTACCTACTTTACACTTTGTGATTACATTCAGTGATACCTTCTGTGATTACATTGAGATGAGATGTGAAACCCCCTTTCTTACATACATACATAAGCACGCATATAATCTACCATACTTTGGATTTTTAAAAAGCACATATATGTAGAGATGTACAGATGTGTATATTTACATAGATTTATCTATGTATGTATATAGTTATATATGTTCTTGTACATATGTACCTATATATCTATATGGGTATATGTGCATATGGGATAAGGGGGGGGTGATTCTTGGATTTTATGTAAAATAGATTATTTTTTCATCAGAAATAGCTTCTTTACCAATATTTACATATACAATTGGTACCATTTAAATACCAGCTGCTCACCAAGCTAAATAAATGTTCTCTTTTCCTATGACTATTTCAGAAGATTTATTGTCATCTCTCTATTTGCTCCACCAATGTAGAGCTCAATCCTTCTGTTATTTTGTAGGCAATTTGTTTATTTACTGCGGCCAAACAAATTAAATATATATGTATATTTCCTGATGACCAGTCTTCTTGTAATAAGCCTTTCTAAATTTATGGAAGGTAGTTCCCAGGTAACTACACAGTCTATCACTGGCTCAATACTAAAGGTTTACCTAGCTTGCTAAAGGTCTGCCATACCTTGCATTTTTCTGTCAGAGACTTTGTAAACTTCCATGTCATAATGAGACATTGCCGTAGGACTTGGGGTGGGAGGTGTTTCTTTAGCAGGCAATTCCCTCCACCATTGTGGATCTTGACACATCTGTGACAGTAGGTGGTTTTGAGAGAGTTGCCTGAGGTGCACACAGATGAAGAAAGTGACTTGCCCAGCATTCTATGACTGAAGGTAGAGGCCATATTTGAATCCCAAGATGCCATCCTACCCAACAGCCCATGCTCATTTCCCTCAGTCTAAATCTCACACCAAGCCTGTTATGCTTATTGTTCTGATTCACTGCACATCAAGGCTTAATTTACTCAAGACATTTTGTAATAGTTCAGCAAGGATTCACTTGGAATAAGCGTAAAATTACTTTCTGCTTCCTTGTAATTAATAATTACTTTTTAGAGCTGTAATCTTCTAAATTCAGGACATTCACCTTATGTTTTTTCTTGACCTTTTGACTTAACAGTTTGCTTTATTTTCTCAAAGATTGAGATCTCTTTGCAGTTAAACGGGAGCTATTTTCCATTATTTCTCTTTGTTATTTAAGGACTTTTCCATGTAGCAATGTTTTTCTTCCTCTGCTACTAATTGGGCTCACGATTTGCTGCTCTGGAGATACATTAAGTCTCAGGTGATATTTTTACAAAATAAACAACAGAAACTGATCAGAACTCAACTTAAGCAAGACTGTGAAGTGAAAATTACATGTGTATTTCAGCTACTGTCACGAAATTGCTGCAACTCTGTGTCACTATTGACATACGTATCAATGTAGTATTGTCTCCAAGAAAAATATGAGAAATACTAGGGCGTGTCAGTGGGGCTTCTCTCAATAAACCCCACTCCTTCAGTACTGTCACAGATGCAGCGAGGATCCATAGAATAGGTGACTGTGAAGGCTCCATAAAAGGTTTCTGTTTTCAGAAAATGTGTTTCTAGTTTAGGCATTTCCCAAGTTGGATAAGTGAGACTGAAATTCCAGCTCAGTTGTTAAGTCTAGTGCACCTGGAAAATGACTTTCAGCTGATTTTGCCTCATTTCACAATAAAGCTAATTATTTTTTCAGAAAGGCAAGGTAGAGACTTGAACTGAGTTATGAATCTAAAGGCAGAATGAACTGTACTAATCTGCTAAACGTCAAGCTGATCCCAGTTTTAAAAAACAAACTACAACCTAGATTTTTCACTGTATTTGCTTCATACCAAGAAGGCTGTGCTTCCATAGGAATCACTGAAAACTTGTGTTTGTCTTTCAGGTCCAATATTTTTTCAAGATCTTGGAAAATTAACAATATTAAAGATGGAGCAGTGGCAAAGTGGAGCCTTGGAGACAAGAACAAAGCGCACACATAAGTAATGTGTTCATTCATTTATTGTCCATTGTTTTAACCTGACTGAATACAAGATCAACAAGAGCGCTGTACTCCTGGCATTTATTACATGTTAGAACATAGATTTTGCACTTTAGACAACATTTAACACCAGTCTATGGGGTACTGCATTGCTTTTTTTAAAGTTCAAAATAAAGATTTATTTTCAAACAAGTGACTTTGGTTTATTTCATACATTACACTTTTTCTTGCAGAAAAAAATAAAATTGTACAACTGCATAAATATAAAATTCTTCCACCATGAAAATGGTTAAAACATTCATAAAGACACAGCACCAGCATGTGATGCCTCCAGAGAAAGAAAGGAAAAAAAAAAGATAGAAAGAAAATATACAAAGCAAAATAATTAGCCCTATCACCAGCCAAAGTGATAGTTGAACCCAGGTCTCACACACAACTTGAGAAAGTACTGGAGGACAAGGGAAGAAATGTAGAGACAGCATTCAATACAAAGCACAATACAACCCATCATCTTTTTTTTTTCCTTTAGCTTCACTTAAAATTCAAGGGCAGTTTCCCCTCCCCCCTCCCTGGACAGTCCACCCCCCCTCCCTGGAAAAAAAAATTAAAATTAAATAAAGCTAACATCACAGGAAAAGGCTCTATGGAGTGTTGTTAAATATGTTCATAGATGGGCCTTTATCTCTAAAAGAGCAAAGCAAAATTAAATACCATGCCAGTTTTATCCCCATTGAGTATTTACACCTTGGACAGCAAACCTTGCTCACATAAAGTAGAAAATAGATACAATAAAACATGGCTTGAAAAATGACCAGAGTATGCACCTATAGTACTGTACACTAAATAAAATACACAAGGCAGCAATACTTAGGGGCCAGAAACACTGCTTACTACAAGTCAGTTATGGAATCATAATTTACAGTAAAAATGGGCACGTCCCAAGGCTCAATTTTTGTTTTTTTATTTTGTCATTTACAGTAGAATAAATATTTTGTTGCTATTGCTACACTTTAAATTTACATTCTAACCTAGTAAATGCAGAAAGCTAGTGTAAAGCATATAGATTAAGTGTAGGTCCCATACGTATGACAGTTTGTTCAAGACTAGTAGGTTTTTGTTTTTTATAATTTTTTTAAACTTTTTTCAATGGCTAGGGGAGAAGATTGTGCTTGTGATCAGCTGGTCTTTATTTCAAATTTTACATCAAAGCGTCCCTGAAAACGGTCTTTTTCACTGTAGCCAATATTTTCACCATACGCCTTACACTCCACTCGGATTTCTGTGTCAGTGGTAAGGTTGGTGAACTGCACCGCCAGGAGGGGCTGGAGGTACTTGGGCTGCAGGAGTTTACCATAGTACGGGTAATATTGCAGTGGAAAACCAGAAAAGCCACCCAAGCCAAAGTATTCCATGTTTCCAACTTTCTCCTTATCATCGTCTCTCTAAAAAAAAAAAAAAAGAAATTATTTTAATTGTTGGCATGATAAACAGTTCCTGCCACCTACACCATTGCTCTACCTCCATTTTACATCCTTCTGAAAATCTTAGCTCACTTAACCACCAGATGGTAACATCATTCTCATTTTGCAAATGTGGAAACTGAGCCGAGGCAGATTTCCCTCTTGCTCAAGCCCACATAACTTACCTGTGACAAAGTTAGGCCAAAATCCAGCACTTTTAAATCCCATTCAAGTTTCTGTACCACATTTCAACCTTAATTTTTTTTTTTAACAACAGCTATTCTCCAAAGTTTAGATAGTGTATGAGTGTGTATGATGACTACTAAGAAGGTGCTCTAAAATGTTCTTTGTGCTCCATGCACTTGGAATCTTCCCATACGTAACTCATCTGTGCTCTTGTGTCTTCCCATAATCCATAGCCCATTTATGGATATGGCAGAACTGGAGTAATGTTTTTCTTCCTCTGCCATTAACTGGTGCTTCCACTTTGCTGCTGCTCTAGAGATATGGGAAGTCTCAGGTGACAATTCATTTAAGTGTCTTTGTTAAATTCAATATAGGTCTGCTTAACTTGATAGCTCCCCTATTCATATAGGCAGTTTTAAGCTTTAGCGGGAGTCGGCACTGGAAGACACTGTATTGACACATGTAGCTAGCTGCCTCCAGGTCTTCCCTACTGTTGTGCAAAACACATGAACCAGTAATCCTTAAATAACCTCAGTGAGTCACCCCTCCCAAGTGTTAGAAAGGCATCATAGAAAGTGCCATGAGAGGAACTAACAGTTATCCCTTTTGGCAGTCTCTGGGGGTAGTTAAATGAATATTATCAGCTGCTTTGCCTCTTGTTAGACAGTCATCACCAGTCAAAGCTGAGGGACTCTCATGCTACTGACATCTGTGATTTCCCTATCAAAGCATCACCATCTAAGAGGCAGTATATCAGGAAAATGACAGCTCCCCTATGTAACAGTTCAGGCAAATGATGATACGGAATGTCTGAAGGAAATTTGGGGAACCATTAAGGTTTATTTTAGAGTTCTGCCTTTGGAAACCAGAAGGAATATGAGTTCACCACACTGAGCTTTAAACAAATGAAGTATCAGCAGAATGATTATACTCTTTGAAGGCGATAAGATAAGGCTACCCAGAATCTCCTCCAGCACTGTACACGATGCCCGCAGTCGGCACTTAACAAATGTCCCACTGGTAGATTTTGCTGGATACAAATCTGGAAATCAAGAGCATTCCAGAATCTGGAGCATGCTCCATCATTCAATCCTTGTGTCTTGCAATTGCTATGAACCAGTCTCTGATGTAGATGGGAACAGAACATAGCAAAATGTGGTCTCAAAGGGAGGAAAGGATGACACGTACAAAGGAAAATTCAAAAAGTGCCACTTCTGGGAGTTCTTGGCAGCAGTGGGAATTATCTATACCTTAAACCTCTGACAAAAAGTTGTAAGTAGAAGCCATCTAAATCAAATCAGACATGATGATGATAGCTGGAGTAAGTTGTAAGCTTGTGCCATGATTCCATTTTTCCCATATGACCTTGGTTTTTCTCTTTAATGAGTGCCCCTAACCTAAAAGCAACTGGGATGCAAATGAATGTTTGACACTGAAAATTCTCATACCACCTAAAGACTAAAATAAACCAACAAGTCTATTTGCTTAGGTTCCAAAGCAAAACATCCTTATTCCAACTTGGACATTTTGGGTTTCTTTAAAAGCAAACACTGACATTTTTAAAAGTAAACCCTGATATCTAAAACTTAGAAAATGAGTTGGAAAGGACCTTAGAAGTTATCTATTTCAAATTCTTCCTGATTGTTGATCTCATTTAATTTTCTCCACCCTGTGTGAAGTAGAAAGGATTCTTTCTGTGAGGACATGGACCTTTGGAAAAGGCAGTGACTTGCCCTGAATCACAGAGACAGGCCTAGCCATGTCATTGTTCTAGCTATATCTGCACATCATAAATGCAATTCAATTAGAAACTGGTATAGTAGAAATCAATATTCTATTGATAGAAGTGCATTAGACATTACTTTTAATATAAGACCCTAGTTATTCTTATAAATTATCATTAATATCCCTACTGTTTCCCCAGTAATTCTCCCTTTTTTCTTACCTTGCCAGCACAATGAACAGGAAGGACATATGGGTTATATCGTACCATCAGATCCTTGTCCAGGGAATCATTTTTTGGAGGCTAAAAGTAAAATCCATGTAGGTCAGTAAGGCAGTAGATTAATAAATATTATGAACATACCCATTTTAGTATCAACAAGAGAATCCTATCAGATTGTGTCATCTAAGATGGAAGCACATATTACAATTGGCATGATGAGGTGGCTAAGGAAAATGGTTTTGTTTCTCCTTCCAATACTTGAAAAGGTTCTGACTGTGATTTGCTTAACATGAAATGACAGGCATTTCACAACATTTAAAAATGCTGTAGGAAACCTAGACCTTTTATCTTGTGTCACTTTCAAACCGAAGATGTGTTCATCAGATCATGGAGCTCAGCAGGACCTTAGAGGTCATCCCCCTCATTTTACACATTAGGAACTGACACCCAGTGAGGTCAGATGACTTGCCCAGAAGCCACACAAATAATAAGTAAAAGAAGTAGGGGTCAAGCACCAGGTTTATAGTTTAGAAGACTCAGAGCTATAAGGGACCTTTAAGAGCTTCTAGACATTTTACAGATTTAAAAAACAAAATAACACAACTCTTGAGTTCTAGGGAGGTAAAATGACTCGTCCAAGGTGGGTAGAGCTGGGTTGTTAAGTCCAGATTCTTTGACTCTAAATCCAGCAATTTACTATCTCACTTCAGATTCTATTCTTGTCAAAGATGCACCAGAATCCAGTTGAACAAAAGTGTAAATCCATGAGGCAAAGCTTCTTCCTAATGAGTAGGGCATCAATACGAGAAGATTATATTATTAATGCCTTCTGTCGTAAAAGAAAACTTGAGCATTTGTACAGTTGTCTCTAGAACCTTCTGCCAGCACTGCATTTAATTGTAAAATGCAAAGAACTATGAAGTTACCAGTCTTTTCTCAAAAGGAGCAATAACAAAAAAATCAATAGATTTATATTTAAGTGGCAGAAGGAATGAGAAAATGCAGCAAGGAATCAAATGGAAGTGGGGGGGGGAGGTTGGAAATTATCTAAAAGTAAAAGCCACTGTATTCTCCTACTGGGGGAAATATATATATATACACACACACACACACACACACACACACACACACATATATACATATACATACATACATATAAAATTATCTCAACAAAGCATGCTCCATTGATCTAGCTGTATATGGGTCAATAGGAAATTCTACATCATGGAATCAGGTGATAACTCTCACTGGAATATTTAAATTTCTGGTATATCATCCATCCATTACTAAACAACATTACCATAATTTATTAAAATACTTAATGCTCAAGAAGTGATGATATAGGATGGTAGACTCTGAGGAGCGAATGGAGTTAGTTGTCCCGTTCTCAGCCCTTCCTCTATTTATCCTTCATTACCATCTGGAGTCTTTATTCAATATTCAATTCTTTAGCTGATTTACACTTGTTAAGTATATTCTGATAATTATTGTCTTCCTCTTCTATTGTGCCATATTCTGAGCAAAATATCCTTTGGAGAGGAATAAAAAGGGTGATGCAAGGTCTAGCCAGTTTTGCCTCCAGTGACAGTGATGGTATTTGGATACATGCTCAATAAATTAAATTTCTATAGCTCTTTTTTTTCTTTAAATTATTCACATATCATATGCTTTATAAAAAACTAACCAATGGCATTCAGTAGAAGGCTGAACATTAGAGCCAGATCTCCCCAACAACTGGCTTTTAATGGTCTTCCCTTATCAGAATCAGAAACATCTTCCAATACCATGCTCATGGATACAGATTCAGAAAAGGGAAAAAGCCTCTTGAAGAAGATCTGCTTGAGAAAAATGAATGCTTTTTATTCAGGCTCCAGGAATGTTGCATTCTAATGGAGATGGAAAAGTACTTAGCATATTTATGCTGCCTTGTGAAATGAAAAGTTATTGTAATTCCACCAATGAGTCCAAAGTATTAGGGTTCATTTCTTGTTTCTTGTGCTATTTAATGAGATAATACTTTTTAAGTGCTTACTTAGTGCAGTACCTGGCACACAGTAAGCACTTAATAAATGCTTGCTCCATCCTTCCCTCTCTTCTTCCCCCTTTCTAGGAAGAGTAACCCATTATATACTGCTGTAATTAGTGCCAATGGCACAAGGCAAAGATGTGTGTGTGTGTGTGTGTGTGTGTATGTATGTATGTATGTATGTATGTATGTATGTATGTATGTATGTATGTCCTTCCTTGTATGAACATCCAGGGCTTACCATATATTAGTATTTAGTCTTCATTTTGCAGTGGTATTTCCACTCCAGATAATTCTGGGATTTAGAATCATGAGGAAAATAATCTGATATAATATGAATGACTTTGATGGGACCAAAAAATGATGACAACCCTAGAGAATGATGAGGGTAAACAATAATACCATGGATCTGTAATAATATTATTGATATGTTTCCTCCATCAGTGCAGATCCTTATTTTTCCCATCCTGTGTGACTTTGTCCACATTCTCCCTAAGATCACCCTTGGATGATACAGCCAAGGTGTTAGAAATTTTCTTCTAGGTCTTTTTTCATGATACCAGTAGAGCATTCAAGCTATCCAAGGGAAACAACTATTACCTAAATATAGGCACCCACTTTGAGATTTTAACATTAATGTTTCATATAATTTTTTAAGAGTATAATGTCTCATAAGACTAGTGTTGAAAGGGATATTACTGATAATCCAGTTCAACCTCCTCATTTTAAAAAAGTAAATTGAAGCCCAGAAAACTGTAGTGATTTGCCCAAGGTCACATAGCTAGTTAGTGTCAAAGATGGTCCTAGAACTCTGGTTTCTCGGTTGTCAGTCAAATGCTGATTGTACCATACCACAGTATTTGCCAGTCAGAAGACTGAACAAAATTCCATTTAGGGGAAAAACAGGAGCACAGGGCTTAGTTTAAAAATCATTTCACCATTGGAAAATTAACTAACTTTGGAAAACTACAGTAATGGCTCTTCCTTAGGTATTACCAGGAAGATAGGGATGCTGTTAGTCATTCTAGAGCAAGTGGGCCAGATGCAAGCTTCAAGTGTGACTGTTCTGACAGCATAGATAATCCTTCACACCCATTGGATGTTCATCCTTCCTATTAGATAGGTTATCTACAAAAATAGGCTCCCCTTGGTGTCTACGTTTGCTTCAGCCTTTAGAAGATCACTTGCCTTAGGTTTGAAGGCCAGAACTCGGTTGAGTTTTATGATGATGCAAGGTTTGCCACTTGAATAGCCAAAGGTTTCATCCAGTAATCCAGAGCAGTTCCCCAACCACTCCCGCCTGAATCTGCAGACTCTCTTCTTCCCTTGTTCATTGTTAAACTCTCCTCGATCTTTGTAATCACTTGGCACATCTAAAACACAAATGTAAACAAAGGGCCAATAATCTCCCCCAGCAGCATCAGAAGAAAGGAGAAAGCTGATTCAGCCAATTCTACTACGATAGGAATATTTCAGATTTATCCTACCAGAGTATCACATCATAAACCTAGTATATCATCAATTCATAGCTGAATCATGAATCTCTTCTCTAATGTGTGTTAATTTAAATACAGCTGGATAATTCACTGTCCTGCAAGACAATCCATTTTTTTGGATAGCTCTAATTATTTGGGAGTGCTTCCTCAAAATGAGCCAAGAATCTCTTTCGCTGTAACTTCCATCCATTGCTCCTACATCTGACTTCTGGGGCCAATCAAAACAAACCCAATCCCTTTTCTATATAATGACCAAAGATTTGAAGAGAGGAGCCACATCCTGAATACATCTTCATTTCTCCAGATTAAATATCTCTAATTCCCTTAACTGATCATTCTGGTTTTGAGTCACCTCACTAACCTCTTTCTGGACTCACTCTAACTTGCTGACATGCCTTCTATGACATGGACCCCAGAACTGAGTACAATATTCCAGAAATGGTTTGCTTTGGTCAGACTATAGTGGGACTGCCATTTAGACACTACTTAAATTGTATCTATATCAGCCCACCAAAAACTTTCCCTTCATAAGTAACAAAATGATTTTGCCAGGCTATGGTGGAGCATATATTTCAAGCCATCAGCTTGATGTTGTCTGCCTAGGACAGAGAATGATTTATCTTGTTTTTCTATCAATGGTTTTTCTCTTGTTTTAAATAATGGACTATCCAACTATTTATACATAAAGCTGAACATGAGATGCATGGTTTGCCCAGGCCAATAATTGTCTGTCTTAAAAACAGGGATCATTATAACTAATTAGGATTGAAATCAGGTGGCTGAATGAAATATGTCAGACTAAGAACATGTTGGTAAATAGGAACAGAATCCCCTGAATGTGTGTTCTTCACTGACATTGTAGACAGTGTAAAAGAGAAAGTCATTTGGTTGTGCCTTTTCACCAAATGCTCTCTGTGCCACTACTTTTTTGGGGGATCCACTACAGCTTTGCAATCAATCCTCACGTGAGAAATGACAATTTGCTACTTTTAGGCTATAGTTAGGGCCCAGCAAGGGACACAAAGCTTTAGAAAAGACAACTGAACATAGAATTTGAAGCTCAATGAAAAATGATTCTGTAAGTTAAGGCAAATATTATTCATAAATAAAGCAGATGTTTGCCAAACATGAGCTTTCACTATTGTCTTAAATGCCAAACTCTATTATCATAGATATTTAGGAACTATAAGGAACCTTAAAGGCCATTTAAGCTAAACCCTTCAATTTGCAAGAAGGGAAACATAAACAGCCGTTAAATAACTTGTCCAAGGTCACAGCATCATTGAGTGGATGAGCTGGAACCACAATTCCCAGTCAATTGGTCATTTCACTATACCACACCACTTTCATTTTATCCACTAAGAAATGACTTTAGACTTTAAAAAGTCTTTCAACTATTACAATTTAACAGATCTGATTGACAGCCCATTTATAGAAGTTCAAAAAATTCTTTCCTTTTATGTGATCATACTATATTTCTCATCTAATAAATCCTATAAATCAAAATTAGTCCTCACTGATGTGACTAGAAATATGAGTGCTAGGCATATGTGATAGGTGTTCAGTTTTAAGAGTGAGAGTATCTTGGGTGGGTCTGAGGAATAGCAGATTGGGAAATGTATACTCAAAATGGCTCAACATATTTTTCACAAATAGTTTAAATAGTTTATCCCAGTGGTCATAAGGATCTCTATGTCAGTCATTAAGTCAACAAACAGAAGGGAGAAAATGAATCATAAACCAACCTAAAAATGTAAGTTACTTACCACCACAGTCCTCAAATTCTAGTTCATCCTTCTGGGCTGCTTCTGTATATTTCTCCAGGAATCGATTAAGGCTCACAACATATGCATTAAAGGTCTGGGTCTCACTTGTCCGAAAGGAAATTTCAGTCTTTTGGATCTGAGGGACCTGTGTCAATCCTAGACATATGAAGGAAGGTTAGAAAAAAAACACAAACAACAAAAGCTATGAGTAGAGAGGTAATGATGAACTTAAGTCAAAAATATACTCTCTTTACCAGAACATTTTATTTTGATTAAATCATTCCTATAATCCCACCTTTTCTATGAGACCTGATCAAGCTAGCCCCAAATGTGCTCCTTCTTGCCTCGGAATGTCTATAATGCTTACTATGTGATCTTGTCTTTGGGGCTTAGTATAGCTGGCCTTGAATCATTAGCAGTGTGTTTGTGTGTGTGTGTGTGTGTGTGTGTGTGTGTGTGTGTGTGTGTGTGTGTGTGTGTGTATGTGTGTGTGTGTGTGGAGAGAGAGAGAAAGAGAGAGGAGAGAGAAAGAGAGAGAGAGAGAGAGAGAGAGAGAGAGAGAGAGAGAGAGAGAAGAGAGAGAGAGAGAGAGAGAGAGAGAAGTTGGGGGAAGGGAGAAAGAGGCAGGGGGAAGGGAGAAAGAGAAGGAGTCCCTAGTAAGACTGTAGGCCCCCTGAGGACAGAAATCATATCATACCTTTGTATGCTCCACAGTCCCAAGAACACGTAGATGTTCAATGGATGTTTGTGGACCAATACTTGATGAAGTTCAAAAACAATCTCCTTTTAGGTTGTAAGCAGGAGTATTGATCACATATTTACACTAATGCCCTCCAACTAAGATAAAAAGATTCAAGGAGATAAATACGTATAGCAATGTCTCAGAGAAGAAAAATGACATTTATTCTTAATTCATCAGGCTCCACTGAGCATAGAATTCCGTCCCCAGGCTTATTTTCTCAAGAACTTTGTAATGGCATAGTTACAAGAGATTAAGTATCCATAGTGTTATGTTATCCATAAGTGTTATGGAACTGGACATTTGGAGAGAGAATAGAATACACTTCATGCTTTTTGGAAGGATGTTATCTAAGTAACAGTATGCATGGGTCAATAATTCTGGAAATCAGAAACAACTAAGTTCTAATTGTACTTTTCATATTGTCACCATTTTGTTCCTTGTTGTCCTGTATGAAATGCATCATCACCAAATATTTACTAAGGCTCTTACCCTCCAGAGATGTAGAATCTAAGGCTAAAAATACTGCTATAGCTATAAAGGTTATCGAAAAGGTTATTTCTTCTGAATATAGATAATGGATAAATCCATTTTGCTAGATGTCAGCTATAGATAGAGACTAGGTTAAGGTTTTAAAAAAGAATTAAAATATTAAGAACAATTAGGATAATGGGAGGAATAAATTAGAGGACAGAGAATGGGAGTACATCATATTTCCACTTGGAAGAAGGGGGATGAGTTAGATAAATGAAAAAGTCTTACTTGAGAAGAGAAGGGATGGACTGATGAATGGGTGAATCAAGGAAGTGAGATATTTTAGGGCTTTTTGTAAGGTTGCCAAAGATAGCAATTGTCTATAATGTTGAGAAAGGCCAGAGGATTGTGCTGGACATAGGGAATCCAGTGACAATGAATTTACAATAGTTCATGAAAAAGATATATAAAAGTGGACATAGAAATAGATGATAATGATACTGACTTAAGATCTTTTGGATAATATCCCCCTGGGATAGAGAATCTGCACATCAAAGTGAGCCAATGAACAATAAATCCTCAGGATCCTCAGTGAAGAATAGGCAGGCAATAAAATAGGCACATCAGAAAGCTTGCATCTTTTTAAGAAGTATGTTTCCATATAAAACTTGGTGGTGAGGGACTGGAGCAAGACTAACTGTGTGTTAAGTATTATATGCAAACAGATCCATATCAGAGGAGTGGAACTGGTCTAGCCTGGGATTTAAGAAGCTGTGGAAAGTAGTAAAGAATCTAATTTAGTAGAGCAGATATCAATGAAACTAGAGAAATACAGTCCAAATGAGTCGCAGTGCATATGAAATTATCATGCGAGGAGACACTTCAAAGTAGTGCTCTTCCACAGCTTTTTAGCAGTATAATAGACAAGCACCAAACATGGTAAAATTTATAAATAAGATAGTTTGCAAGTGTAGAAAGTCTCACTGTCAAATAAAGAGGAGCCAGTGTTAAAAAGCCTCAGGGACAGTTGTAGTAATCATTAATGATGAAGTCACTATGGTTGGGAAACAGGCTTTCTGCTTTCTGATCATTTTTTTTAGGGATACTAATTCCAAAATGACAGAGAAAGACAAACTAAGTAACCTAGAAAAGGTGGGTTAAAATAGTCTTCTCCTAACCAAGATAAGGAGGATAATGCATTAAGGAATAAGTACATGAGTCCCAATCACACATGATCCCAACCTCTTCCCAAGGCATATGCCTTCTAGATCCTATGACGTGGCTGCCAAATGTGACTTTCCCCATATAATCATTTGAAAACAAAGAAAAACAAAACAAAAATTACTTACCTAGAAAAGTTTTAGAGATGTTCCACATTATGTTTCAAGAACTTAAGATGTCTAATAAGCTCATTAATTAGCTCATTAGTTCCCAAATAGTATATTCTGCTAAGTGACCCAAAACAGAACTCATCAGTGCCAGGCACGCTTATTGCAAGTGCTGGCCTTTTACCTACCATGATATCTAAGATAGTCACATCTTGCAAGCGTCTGAGACTGATAAGTATCACAACCTCATGGAACATGATCAGGAGTAATTGGACATACAACTAGTTCAATGTCACATCAGTCTGGCATACCAAGAACCACCACTGCTAGATCTTAATGAGATGAGAGCTCTTACCCCTGAAAACCCACGGAGGTAAGAACACAAGGCACTACTGTGCTGCAGACAAGTTCCACAAAATGGCTCTGTCTGTACTAGAGGATGTCAAGGGCCCTCCCAGTCCTCGCTCTGTGATCCCATGGCTGAACTGGGTGTGATACTATATGAACAAGACTACTTTGAATGTTAAACTCGTACCACAAACTTCTAACCCAAAGAGCCTCTGTTTCTAGCAATGAAAACTATTTCTATACATCCCTGAGGTCCCATAAGCACTAGTTCTGGTTTGTATTATAGTATGCAGAGGGAGGGAGGAAAATTAAGGAATCTACTTAATGATCCGCCAAGTGACCAAGGCCTGCTTGGGACCCATCTGGTGTCTGCTCTCTTCTTCATTCCCTTACCTCATGTTTCTGGATTGTCTCCTGTCCTATTTCTACTACTACCTATGATCATTCAGCAGTCTTTTTCTCCCTACCGAGAAAAGTCTAAGAATTCCCCTTTCTGGCAGTCAGTGAAAGTGACTTAACACCCATCTGTTCTCCCTTACCTATTCAGCACTTAAGTAGGGTGTCTTAGCTAGGGGATATGTGCTTTATGCAATCATTCTGAACAACGAAGAAAATACCACTTCTCAAAGGAGATTTCTCAAAAGTATCAAATGTCTGTGATTAGATAAGCTACATGTTTGTGTGACGGACATTTGAGAGTTGGGGGGGTGGCAGGTGTTGCTTTGAGGGAAGGGATTAATATGTATGATACCCACATATCAAAGTTCTTTTAGTATTCATGAAACACATTTGGATTCCATAATTGGCCTTCCATGGAGGTTTAGATAAAATCGTGATTGCTTTATTGCAAGACAAATTTTGCATGTAATTAAGAAAAGTAGAATTCTGTCTTCTCCCAAGCTGCCCCTACCCCATTCCTCTTTTCTACCCCCTTTCAGAATCAGAGATCCTCTGACCATTTCCAACTGTTACCTTCTCATTCATCAAACCAAAGGAAAGGAAAGAAGAATGGGATTACTTGGCAATTTTTAGCTGTATTCTTTTGGTGTACACACACACACACACACACACACACACTCTTGAACTGCAACACCTTTCAGGAGCCACACAATTGTCAATTTCCCTCTGGGGAAGGGAGGTGTGTGTAGTATTGTGGTTTTCATTAATGGTTCTTTTCAAATTCGATTGGATACCTCTGGTCTGGCTCTCTCCTTACTGCTCACCCCTTAAAGTTGTTACTTATAACCTTGGACAAGGATGAGCTTCGTTTCCAAGGGTCCCTCCCAGCAGCCAAAGATAACAGAACACCCAATCAGAGGTTTGTGGCTTCAAGTTATATTCCAGGAAGTGGCTTAATCTTTTCTCTCTTGAAATCCCTTTGAACCTGAATTCAAATTGGTCATAGTAGGCTACATACAACTTAACTGATTTAACAGTTTTGTCTTTAAACATGTGGAAGAGTGAGAGAATCCTCAACTCCTCAAACCTGTTTCTGGGAATCCCTTGGTTTTTTTCAAATCTTAGTTTGAAAACTAGTCATCTGTATGAAGCCTTTCCTGGTCTCCTCAACCTTCTCTCCCCCATAATGTTATCTTATATCTGTTTTGTAAATACTAATATATAGCTGTTGTCTCCTTGGGTAAAATGTAAGCTCTTTGGGGGAAGGATCTTGAGAATCATTTCACTATTATCTTTACTTAATAAATGTTTGTTGATTGAGAGGAATTGAGACCTTTGGAATTGTAAACATAATACTGAGTTTCCAGTGAATAAATCAATTGTCCACAATACATTAAACACTTAATAAAATGTCTGTGAGCGTAATTGGTAGAAACTAGCAATTCCCTCCAGGAGAGGGAGGGCATGTAATAAGAAGAGAGAAATAACAGGGAACAAAGAACAAAAGGTCAGAAAGAAGAAAAGAAAAAAAAAACACACCACATTGTCACCCGTACTTTTGTTTGTGAGGGCTAGGAAGTTATAAAGAAAAAAAGGGAGGGGGGAGAAAGAAGGTTTCTTAGGTCAGAAAAGATATCTTTTGTTTCTAGTTAGCCTTCCTTATACAGTAGCAATCTTGCAATTGTTGGGATTATTGTATGAGTATCATGCATATCATTCTATACTGTCCTTTTTACAAAAAATGACACAATTTCATTCCAGAACACAGCTACCTATGCACTTAACATATCACCAAATATTTCTGTGGACATCAGTTTCCATAGAGCCTTCTAGAAGTATGCTAATATAAATAAAAATGGTACAGAAGG